CACACATACACACACACACACACTTCGCAATTTGTCTTTGTAATTTGAATTTCAAGAAATAAGTATCACAAATAAGTATCATTTTATTATACAGAGTTTTTTTTTAAAGTATGTTCTCTCCAGTGTTCTTCTTTCAGTCCTTGTCATTAGAACAAAATTGATTTCTTATAGCCATTATAACAGAAATAAGCCCCGTGGAGAAAATAATCCAATGCCCCAGGGAAGCCAATTCAACCAACAGCAAAGCACATGCTGTACATTGAGTGGTGGCTGTTGTTGTTTTTATTTTACAATGGGTGGAAAGTATAACACCATACATCATGAATGTTCTTGAAATCTAACATGACTAACAGTTCATTTATGCCTACATAAATTTTAATGAGTCCATGTTGCAGCTTCCTAAGAATATTTTATTCTGAGCCTGAGTTTAAGGCCTGAGTACAAACAATACAAGAATCCATGGTAGCTCACCCCCACTGTTTCAAAGTCCCTGGCCCAACCAAGTTTCATTCTCTGGCATAGTGGTCTTCCTTGTCTGAAACTCACACCATCGAAGATTGAAAAAGACCTGAGAGCCATTTAATCTAATCCCATTCATAGATATAGAACGCTATCATCAGAACACAAAGTATACTTATAACACTGTTGTTAGTCCATATTCCATATTTGGTGGCTGGCTAGTCTCTTAAACAATCTGCCAAAAATGTACTAACCATTCCCCTCAAGTAGCCCGCTACCCATCACTCTTGGGGTCACCTTATCCTCAGTGTGGTATGACCATTGCATACATCCTTTTACGATATATTATGGCATTAACTAATAACTATATGGAACCTTGGTTAAGCCAGCTGTCTATTCTAGGGTTTTTAAATTCCATGGTTTTTTGGGGGAGGGGGGGAATCCTTAAATTTGAACAATTATAGCAATTATTCTTTGATTGGAACCCATGACTGCAAGAATTATCTTAAGTAACATTGAAAGTGATGAAAGAGTTGGCAGCTTTCTCTTGATGGCTCAGCTGTTCTGCCTTATTCCATGTCTGAACTGGGATGTGACAGCAGATGGAAGCTCCTGTGTGTACAGGCTCATTGACATCTATTACCTCCGTCAAGTCTGCCTCCAAAGTGCTAACTGTGTGGGTCACCTGTGCTACATGAACTTTGTTGGTTACTCTTTTATGCAGAAGGCAACTGAAGATCTTTTTGAATCCCTTCCGGAAATGCTTGGATACCAGGGCATAGACAATAGGATTGACACAGGAATTGGCATATGAGATTAGGTGAGACAGGACCCTGAGCACAAAGGTAACATTATTGAGGGGGAAATTGCCAAACCAAAAACAAAGGATGACCAAGTGATGGGGCAGCCAACAAAGGCAGAAGAGAACAGTCACAATAATGATCATCCGAGTGACTTTGCGTTTACCTTTCTTAGAATCAGACATGACTTTCATGGGATCCACAGATGTCCAGAGATAGCGGATGGTCTTTAGATATGTGAAGCTGAGAATCAGCACTGGGATGACATAGCTGAAGACAAAGGTGCAGAGATCCATAATCTTGCGCTGTGACAGTTCCCAGATGGGATGACAGACAGTAATGTTGGTAATCTGATACTCCTGGAAGTAGCTGACATACGGTCCTGAGAAGATGAATGACAGACCCCAGATGAAGCAAATCGCAATGACAGCATTTCTGGGTGTCCTTAGTTCTCTGGAATGCAAAGGATACCTTATAGCCAGATACCTAGGTAGACAAAAGGAAAGCAAGAAAAAGCTACTGTATTGAGACGTGACAATAGGCGAAGAACATTCAGCGTTAGTAGGCTGCAGCTACTGAGTAGGCTGTAGCAACTGAGATGAGGACAATAGTCTTCCGGAAAGAGCCATGGCTGCAGAGCATTCCTCCTGAGAACCCAGGGTGGGCTGCTGGGGGTTCACGAGGGATCTAGCTAAGATTCTGCACAGTTTGGAGAACCTCCAAATCCTACTCCTGGCTGGCCCAGACCACCCCATCCCACCCCTCCCAGGAGTCTCCATGTGGCCCGTTTTGGATGCATGTAAGTGCAGGGCATGTGCAGAGGTTCGGGGAGGGTGAAAAATGGGCCTCCCAGAAGTTTGGGAAGGCCTAAAACAGGCCCGTTTCCAGCTTCCAGAGTGCCTCCGAAGCCCAAGGAGGCCATTTTCGCCCTCACGGAGGCTCAAGGAAAGCCTCCGGAGCCCGGGGAGGGCAAAAACACCCCTCCCCGCCATGGTGCAGGAGGCTGACTAGGCCATGCCCACCATGGCCACATCCACCCAGCAACCAGGCAGCGAACCCCTTGCTAACATTTTTGAAGCCCACCCCTGCTGAGAACAGAAAGATGTTCAGGTTAGGAGAGGTGGTAGCCACATGTATTGAAGGGCACAGAGTACTAGGGCGAAAAAAAAGGAGGACGCGATGACTAGAAAGGGTGTGGAAGCCTCTGGGGTATCTTTCCTTGCCATGTCTGGAGACACCTTGCTGGTTTCAGACTGCCACTTCAGGACTGCTCAGGTTTGCGGTACTGTGTATGAAGCAAATCACAAGGATGCAAAAGATTTCTGAGGGGACCATCTCAAACAGTAGAAAGGATTTTAACCACTACTTCAAGTTGGGATCGGGGGAAGCGCTCCCTAGCTAAGCTGCCAATATTTGGTGATGCAATGTTTTGCAAAGGTTTGATCCAGGCATAGAGAATTAAGCTGAATAGCATTACCCAGTCTCCTCCCAACACAGACATTTTGTAGATTTTCCAGGATAGTTTCCAATATGCAGAATTTGGTAGGAAGTTTGATTGAAAGGAATATTGGCATTTCTTTTTAAAAAGGCTTATGTGTTAACCTCCTATCCGTAGCCCGCAACCAAGGAACCAAGTATCACAGAATCTCATTAATTCAGTTCATTGCTAGGAAAAAAAGGGTTACAGAATCTTGGAAAGTAGATCAATTAAATAACCATTTGTTAGCATGTCCATTGAAATGGTAACTCTGAGGTTTGTTTGAACTTCTGTAACACAGAATTCCTGATGACAGCCTGACACCTTTCTGGAAATATCAGGCTGAAACATCCAACAGCTGTATTTTGAAAAACTTTGCTTTTACAGAGTCTGAAAACTGCCTTACAACATGCAAGCTATATATGTTGTAAGACAAAGACTACGCACACACACACACATACACACACACACATATATTATATGTAGTCCTTGATTTACAACCACAATGGACTCCAAAATTCCTGTTGCCAAGTGAGACAGATGTTAAGTGATTTTTGCCCCATTTTACAATCTTTCTTGCGACAGTTGTTCAGCAAATCACTGCAGTTGTTAAGTTAGGAACATGGTTGTTAAGTGAATCTGGCTTCTACGTGGGCTTTGCTTGTCAGAAGGTACCCAAAAGGAGACCACATGATCCCAGGACACTGGAACAGTCATAAATATGAGTCAATTGCCAAGCATCACGTACCAGGAGGATGCTGCAACAGTTATGTGAAAAATGTTTTTTTCAGTGCTGTTGTAACTTTGAAAGGTCATTAAACAAACCACTATACATTGAGGACTCTGTGTGTGTGTGTGTGTGTGTGTGTGTGTGTGTGTGTGTGTGTGTATGATGCAACCTGACAAAAAATATTTGTACCCAAATTCATATATCATAGTATTATTAGCATTGGCCTAGTACCATTGTGTTCCGGGGGGGGGGGGGGGGGGAGTCCAAAGATCTGAAGGATGCCAGGAATGATAAAGCCTAGATAACTGTCAAAGTGTCAAGATTTCATTGTATGCAATGTTCATTAAGTAAAAATTGTTGAAAAGTGGTTCGTGTGGAATTTACAGGTATGTGGAATTGCTTTCCTAAGTGCTAAATCACTACCTATTTGCTAACTCACAAAGGTGACTAAGTGACTAAGCCAGAGCTTTAATGGAAAAAAATTGTTCTATTCTAAAGATTTCAAAGCCCACAACAAATCAGCTAATTGGAAGACTGCTGATGAGAGAACACTAGATTTTGGGGATCCCGATTCCTATTCTGGCACCTTAATCACTACACCATGCTGTCATTGCTTTTGATTTCATTTTCATTAATTATTTAGTTATCTTTATCTTAGATAGTGAAACTCAACATTAAGAAAACTAAGATCATGGCATCTGGCCCTCTCAATTCCTGGCAAATAGATGAGGAAGAAATGGAGGTAATGACAGATTTTATTTTCCTGGGCTCCAAGATCACCGCAGATGGGGGCTACCGCCAAGAAATTAAAAGACATTTGCTCCTGGGGACAAAAGCTAAGACAAATCTAGACAGCATACTAAAAAGCAGAGATATCAGCTTGGCAACAAAAGTGCATATAGTCACGGCTATGTTTTTTCCAGTTTCAATGAATGGCTGTGGAAGTTGGACCATGAGCACCAAAGAATTGAAGCCTTTGAACTATGGTGCTGGAGAAGACTCCTGCGAGTCCCTTGGACTGCACGGCGATCAAACTGGTCAGTTCTAGAGGAGATCAACCCTGACTGCTGTTTAGAAGGCCAGATCCTGAAGCTGAAACTCAAATACTTTGGCCACCTAATGAGAAGGAAAGACTCACTGGAGAAGAGCCTAATGCTGGGAAAGATTAAGGGCAAAAGAGGAAGGAGACAGCAGAGAATGAGGTGGCTGGACGGAGTCACTGAAGCAGTCGGTGTGAGCTTAAATGGACTACAGGCAGAGGTGGTATTCAGCAGGTTCTGACCAGTTCTGGAGAACCAGTAGCAGAAATTTTGAGTAGTTCAGAGAACCAGCAAATACCACCTCTGACTGGAGATTTTACAGTATTCTTCCCCTGCCAGGCCCACCAAGCCATGACCACAGAACCGGTAGTAAAAAATTTTGAATCCCACCACTGACTACAGGGAATGGTAGAGGACAGGAAGGCCTGGAGGAATGTTGTCCTCGATCAGGGTCGCGATCAGTGGTGGGATTCAAAAAATTTTACTACCAGTTCTGTGGGTGTGGCTTGGTGGGCGTGGCATGGCATGGCTTGGTAGGTGTGGCAGGGGAAGGATACTGTAAAATTCCCATTCCCTCCCCACCCCACTAACCTGCTTTCCAGCGCTGTTCTCCATGCAGGGCAACAAAAGAAGACCCAGCCGATCAGTTGGGACTCGGGAAGCAGAGAATAGATGGGGGGGGCAGTCTGAGGTGGTATTTGCCAGTTCTCTGAACTACTCAAAATTTCCGCTACCGGTTCTCCAGAACTGGTCAGAATCTGCTGAATACCACCTCTGGTCGCAATGGGGCGGACACGACTTTGCGACTAACAACAACGATCTCAGATAATGGGAAACTCCCTGAATTTTTTTTTATGATAGATCTCTTTGTTCTGCTCAGCCTGAGCCCAGTTTCAAATAATCAAGTAATTCAAGCTAAAATTATATTTTGATTTTGTATGCTAACTGATCATCTAACTAATATATCTGTAAGCTTCAAATCAACTCTAAAATCAATCCAAGTTTCATTTTATTTCCTAAATCTCTAACCCCATCTAATCTGATGGCTAGTCCATGTTTTCAAGGAGGAAAATCTCAGAGAAATCCTAATTATTTTGCACTCCCAAAAGTTAGTCTTCTCCCCTTCTGAGTGCAAAGACTGGGCTTGTACATGACTTAGTCTGGTTTTTAGATTAGCTAGGTTGGTTAGATATTGCCACCAACTGTGATTTCCATTATTTATATACAAGTACACTTTCTATTCCATGTGGGGTAGAAGAGAGAGAGAGAGAGAGAGAGAGAGAGAGAGAGAGAGAGAGAGAG